GGGGTCAACAACCCCAGGTTCGTCCCTGCTGACTGGGCTGGGCTGGATAGAGCGGTGGGTGGGTGGACGGATGGTGGACAGAACAGTAAATACCGGCAAAGCAGGGGGTAAACTGTTACCGATACAGAAATCTGGATAAAGAGCATTTGTGTTTGCACTATTTTTGTGTGTGCATGCTACCTGTAAGTTTGAAGTTATTTCCAGATACAAAGTTTTGTCCTTTAGAAAAATTTATTTATTTCCATTTGTTTATTATTTTTTAAATTCGACCAGAAAGAGACAGAGATAGAAAGGGAGCAAGTAAGCCACTAGGTCTGGAACGCGAACCACAGTCGGCCATGTGAGAATCCAGCGCCTTTGACCACCACGCCACCTGCTGGCCCCCAAAGTTTTACCTTTACTAAAGAAACTAAGTTGTTGGGATCAGAGTTTGGCAAACTTCTAGGAGAAGAAATTTCATATTGTTATTCAGTACTTACTCAGATGTCCAAATTTTGAAAATATTTCTCGTCATTTTCTGTGCATTCTGTCATTTGGTATGAACGTACTTCACGCTTTTAAAGGTGGTTATGGGGGTCCAGTGGGTGGCATGGTGGTTGAGGTGCTTAAACTTAAACCACATGGCCTACTATGCTTTAAGTCCCAGACCTGATGGCTTGCTTTCTCATTTTCTCTGTTTCTCTCTGGTGAGTGGCATGCCCAGTAGCAAAATTTAAAATAATAATATTGATACATCAAGTTAAATAAGTAACTCTTTAAAAACAAAAATGGGGCTGGCAGGTTGCGTGGTAGTTAGGGCACTGGACTCCTATGTGGGCCACCTTGGTTTGAGTCCTGAACCTGGTGACTTGCTTCTTTTTTTCTTAAAGCTTTTTTTATAAAAAAAACTTTTATTTATTCACTTATTTTAATTTGACCAGAGAGAGAAAGTGAGAAAGCAAGCTACCAGGTCCAGGACTCAAACAGTGGTCAGCCATGTGGGAGTGTCCAGCACCTTAACCACTATGTCACCTGCTGGTTCCTGTAACTTGCTTTTTCACTTCCTCCTTCTCTCTCTGGTCGAATTAAATTCTAATCATAATTAAATTAATTAACACTTGGAAAAAAAAATTGGTTATGGTTTACCAGTGAGAATACACCTGTATGGGGGATAGCAGATGACATAATGGCTACGTTGCTGGACTCCCATGTAGTTGACTGTGGTTCGAGTCCTGGACCTGGTGGCTTGCTTTCTCACTTTCTCTTTTTTTAATTTTAAAAAAAAATTTAGGTGGGACCAGCAGATAGTACAACTATCATACAACTGAAAAACCAATCTAGGGGCCAGCAAATGGTGCAGCAGTTATGTCACTGAACTTTAACGTGGCTGACCATGGTTTGAGTCCTGGATCCGATGGCTTAAACTCATGCCGGGCGCATGTGCACCCAAGATCCAGAGAGAATAGAGAAGGGATTGCAGCGTGGCCGTTCCCCCTGGGGGGAGATTTTTCACTGTCTGTCTCTCTCTTTCTGGTGAACTCACGCACCCTATAGCAAAAATCTCTCAAAAAGAAAAAAAAGAAAGTCCACCTGTACTTTGAAAAACTCATTAGAAAAATCTGAGTGCTGGTTACATCATAAAAGAGGCACGCAACTTGGGCTTTTCCTAGTCGTGGACCCATGACCAGACTACATCGTCCAAAGGACCTGGGAGTGAGGCCGGTGGGCAGGGAGGGACCGGAGCTGACTGGACACTGCTGCTCTAACCTCACTGTCAAGGGCTTGGTCTTCAGGTCTGCTGGAAAAGGAAGGTGAATGCCATGTGGGAGGAGGGCCCGGAGCTTTCCACGACCTGCTTGAGTCACCGGATGGGAACATGGTTCTGGGGAGGCAGTAGGGGCCTCTGCTCAGCCTCCCGGGACTGGTAGCCCTGCAAGCCTGAGTGGCCTTGCTTCCTCCTCTGCTGGGTTACTGTAGGCCACCTGCCCTTTCTCTGATGTGTTTAGATCCCTTAACAAATGGATCCTAGTCAGCTGCTGAGGCCTCTTCTGTTCATGGCCCTGGCTTGCAAAGAGCCAAGGAGAATCCACCGGGAAGCACCTACCCAAGGAAGGCCTGGGGGCTTCTTAGAAGAGGGAGCAGGTTTCCCATACCCGTGGGCATGCTGTTCTAGTGCACGAACGGTCCCTGCAGGCAGGCTTCCCTCCGTGATTGGACGGCTGCGTGCCCACAATTCTGTGGCTGTGCTAGCCCCGGGCCCTTCCAGAGTTGGCCGGACAGTGGTATTTAAAGTGATACAGGAGGAGGGACCAGCAGGTGGCGTGGTGGTTAAGGCGCTGGATACTCCCACATGGCTGACCACAGTTCGAGTCCAGGACCTGGTGGCTTGCTTTCTCACTTTCTCCCTCTCTCTCTGTGTCTTCCTCTGGTCAAATTAAAATAAATGAGTGATTCTTTTAAAACATAATAAAATAAAGCGACACAGAGGGCCAGCTCGTGCCGCTGTGGTGAATCCGACTGGACCCACGTGGTCAACTGTGCCTGGAGGCCTGGACCCAGCAGTCTGAGTGTGCACCAGGCCCATGCGTGTGCGTGCCCAAAGTCCTGAGAAGAGACGAGAGAGAGGGCTGAAGTATGGCCAACCCCGGGAGGGTGAGCTCTCACTTTCCCTCTGATGAACGCATGTGGCCTAAAGTAAAAGATACGGAAGACCCAGGGCCTGTGGGAGCCCAGAGGAGGTGCCTGATCCCACCTGAGGGAAGACAGAGGACAAGAAACAGATCCAGTTCACCCCAGGGTCCCCGGCATGACCTACACAGGAACCTTTGCTTAGAGGGCTCCCCTGGGCCAGGTGATGCCCAGATGCAGAGTTTGCCACACCCAGTTCTGCCCTCCTCGCCCCACGCAGTGTCCCCCTTGCTGATCAGGCTGGGTCAGCAGCAGGGTCAGAAAACCAGTGGTTAATTCCACATGGATGGGGGAGGCTGACTGACCCGAGTGGCATGTTACCCAGTTCTTGGAAGTGCAGAGAAGGCGAGGGACAGCGTCAGGGGAGCACTTGGTCAGAGTGAGGCTGGACTGCTGAAGGTCAGATCTGGCCGTTCAACTCTGTCTGCAGAGAGATTCTCTCGCCATCGCACAGAAACACTGCGCACAGCAGGTAACGTCTCATTCAAGTTGGCCTGGTAGGCAAGTGGCTGAGGTAGGACTAGAACCTGGGCCATCTGGCTCCAGAATCCAGGTAGGTAACCACTGTGCTGCCTCATCAGCACACTTCGCAGAGTGGAAGCTCCATGAGGGAGGAGACCGTCTTGCTCCAGGAAATCGTAGCTACTTGCAGATGAATGCTTAATCGGCCCTCTAGTTGGCTATAAGGTGTCCTATTGCTACCACCACCTCCGGAAAGGAGGCTCAGAGTGAAAAGAATCCCCTCCAGTGCCTTTAGGGACTGCGGGACTGAGAAATGGCCCGGGAAGGGGCAAGGGGCTTGCTTTCTTCTTCGGGGATAGAGGGGTGGCTTGTTCTGGGTGGCGCAGTGGCAGGGGGTGGGGAAAGGGCAGAGATACAAGGACAGCCAGGGTCCCATGCCCATTCCTGGGCTCTATGCTACTATCAGGGCCAGTCCTATGATGCCAACGAGGGGAGTGAGGGTGGCGATTCCAGAAGGGGAGCTCCTCCCCCAAACAGTGCTGCCCTGGGGAGGATACAGGTAGGAAAATTCTGGTCAAGTCTCCCAAATGCATCCTTTCCTGGCCTCACCAGAACATCCCAACAGCCAAAGTAGGGGGCATTGTGCCCACGTTCAGACGGGGAAGCTGAGGCTCAGAGAGGGGCCGGGACTGGCTCATGGCCTCACAGCAGCAAGCGCAGGGAGCAGGGAAGGAGGCCTGAGCCTTCTGGGTGGGCAAGTCCTTCACTTGTGCCTGAACACTTGCACTGCAAGGGAGCAAAGTAGAATGGGTTGTCTCTTACCTCAGACCAGAGCCTGATACTGCAGAACAGGTACCCCTGGGAAAATGAGCCTGAGACATATTCCTTTAAAAAGTAAACAAGCTTGGGACCAGCAGTTAGCGTAATGGCTATGTTGCTGAACTCCCATGTAATCGACCACGGTTCGAGTCCCGGACCCAGTGGCTTAAACTCACTCCGGGCGCGTGTGTATGAGTGCCCAAGATCCCAAAAAGAGAATGGAGGAGAAAGGATTGCGGTGTGGCTATCCCCCCTTGGGGGGTGATTTCTTTCTATCTCTCTGTCTCTCTCTTTCTGGCGAGAGCACGCGTCCTATAGCAAAAATTTCTCCAAAAAAAAAAAAAGAAAAAAAGCCTCTTTCCTAAGCCTGGGACCAAAGCCTGGGACAATGAGTGACAGGCCCTGGTCCCAAAGGCCAGAGAAGGAGCAGGATGAGGGCGGAGGCAGAAGGTGCACATGCGTTCTCCAGGAAACTGCAGAAGGGTGGGTGACCATGCGTTCTCCATCACTGATTCTGGGGCTCAAATAATACCTGTACAAGCAGGACCGCACAGGACCCCAGAGGCCAGGGTCTGGCCCTCGCCGCTTTCCCTGCAGCCAGATAAAGGCCAAAAGTGCCTCCACTGCCCCTCAAGTCAGTTTCCACAAGGCTTTATTGGCGCCGGACCTCGCCTGGTGACCGCCACTTCAAGGAAAGCCACCGGCACGGACGGGGTCCCGGCTCCGCAAGAGCCCTCCCCGGAGCGCCCGGCCAGGGTGGGAGTCGGGTGGACTCCCACTTCCAGCCACCCGCAGAGAGAGAAGGGCGTTCTCCGAGGCGCACGACGCAGGCGAAGGCCCGGCGACGGGATGGGAGAGGCGGGAGTCCAGCCCCGCTAGAAGGGGAACTCGCAGACGTAGTAGAGGCGCCGCTCGCAGTCGTGGTCCCACCAGGAGCCGTCGTCCGAGGCCTGCGCCACGCAGTTCTCCAGCGCGCCGCCGTTGGGCTGGTCAGGGCTGAGCGGGTGCGGCGCGGGGCTTGGCCGGGTACCTGGCTCGGGGCGGGGAGCGCGGTGCCAGGCGAAGAATGACACGCGCTGGCCGTTCTCGAAGAGGTAGAGGCCCTCGGCGCGCCGGTCGTGGACCCCCCGCCCCACTTGCCCCCCCCAGCCACACGGGCCAGTTGTACGGAGCGAGAGTCGCGCGCAGGTAGCGAGTCAGCGCTTCCATTTGCTGGCGGTCTGCGGGCTGCGCCAGGCTCCCGCCCCGCGCCACACACCGCGCCTGCGCAGCCGCCTGAGCCTCGAAGTCGCGCGAGAGAAGGAAGCATTTGTGGCCAAGGCGAAGCCCCTTCAAGCAGCCTGCGGGAGGGGAGGAGGCGGGGTCATGGCCTCTGGGAGGAGCGAGGAGGCGGGGCCAGGCCCTCCGGGAGGAGCGAAGAGGCGGGGCCAGGCCCTCCAGGAAGGGCGAGGAGGAGGGGCCAGGGCGTCGAGAGGCGGGGCCAGGACCTGGAACGCGCTGGGAGGAGCCTGGGTTAGAACGGCCCGGAACAACGAGGGGCCAGGCCGCTAGGGGCGGGGTCAGACTGTTGGGGCGGGACTGCAGGGGGCGTGGCGCAGCCCTAGTGGAGTCAGCGTGGCTGTGACAGAGACAAGTGCCTCGCCCAGGCCCGCCCTGCTCCCGCGTTCACCCTCCCAGCTACGCTAACTTCTCCATCTGCCAACACTCCTGGATTCCCCGGACCCTTTCGTCCGTGATACCTAGGGTGCTCACCTCTATGCAGACATGTCAGCGTCCCCTCCTCCCAGTCCCTTACCTGCTCCGAGCGTCCGGATTTCTCTGCCGGGTGCGGCGCGGACTCACCTTCCAAGCGACCGTGCTCGCGTTCGGCGCGGCTTTGCGCCTCCTGCAGGGCTTGCACAGCATCGCGAGTGTCGCCTGCCGCCTCCCGCAGCCCCCGGGTCAGCTCGACCACGCGGGTGTCCAACGAGTGCAGACGGACGTGCAGCTGGTGCAGGCCCGCGTCCAGGCCTGCCAGACGACCCACTGCGGATAGACAGGGCATGCGCTGGAGGGGGAGCCTGGGGACGCATCTAGAGAACCTAGGGGGACCGGGATCTAGAGCTGGGGTGTGTGTGGGGGGGTAGAAGTGGGCGTTGCTCCTGGAAGCCCCTGGGATTGGGAGGAAACTGAAAGGTTCATTTTTGTGAACGTGACCACGGAGGCCTGGGGCAGGGCGGGGCTTCTGGGTACTCACAGATGTAAGTGACTGTGTCCTCAGGAGTAGGAGAAGGGCTGGGGCTGGGGGAGGGAGTTGGCGGTGCTTCCTTCTCCCTTTCCAACTCCTCTTCCTCCTCCGGATACCCCTCTGTCTTCCAGGCCTCTTCGTCTTCAGGGGTTGCAGCAGAAGTCTCATTTCCCCTCCCATTCTGTAGCCCCAGGGCTTCCTGCAAATGCTGGGGTAGTGGAGGAGCTATGGGGCCAGCCTGTTAGCCCCCACCACCCCAGATGCCCCCGCCCCTCTCCAACTTTAGAGACCCCAGTCCCTCCTCTGACCCCATCATCCTGTCCTCTGAGCCTACACCCATCCCTCCCCCTTGCCCACTTTGGTAACCTGGGTAATAGCTCACCTTCAGCATCAGGGCCTCCCTCTCCCGCTCCTCCTCCTGAGCGCCTCCCCAACCTCCCCCCCACTCCCTCTGGGCTCCCCGAGCCCCATGACCAAAGCCCAAGAGCTGGGGAACCACCAGGGCCCCGAGGAGCCAGGCTGCCTGCATCAGGCCTGGCTATCAGCACGCAAGGTCGCAGATGTTGGGATGTCTGGGGTTGGAGGGTGGGCTCGGCCCTGACCAGCCCCCTGCCCTTGGTACAGATTGCTGGGCCCTGGGCCCCGTCTCTCCCAGCTTCCCTCTCTCAGCTCCTATGTCTCTGGCCGTTAGTCTCCTCTCCTCTGTGTGTGTCTCTCCCCGCCCCTCTTGGCTCCCAAGAGGCCCTGCCTTTGTGGCCGGAAACCTCCAACGTTCCAAAGGCTGGATCCCGCCTTGGGTCTCCCCACACACCCCCCTCTTTCCACTTTCCAGAGCTCACTTCCGCCCAACTCTTTCCTTCTGCTGTAGCCAAAAGCTCAGGCAGTCAGGAAGAGGTTGGAGCCAGCTGTCCAAGGGATCTGAGGGCCGTAGGACCAGCCTCTGTCCAGGAACCCCTCTGACCAACCAGGCAAGCTAGAGTCCCCCTCTCCCAGCCTCATTCCTGAGGATGGGGAGACCTTGGGTCTTCTTGAAGTCAAAGTCGTTACTGCCACCATCGCCCACATAGCCTAACAGAGGAGACTCTTCCTTCTTCCTTAGGCTCCAGGGGATCCTCTGTCCCCCAGATCCCTCACCGCCACACCCTTGCCTTGAGATTCAAGTGCGTGCGCGTGTCTGCAGGGACACACGTGAAGAGCATGCTGTGTGGGCAGCCCTGGAAGGGGCTCTAGGATTCACTGACCACACTTTACCAGAAGCCTCCAGCAGGAGACCCCAGGCAGGGCAATGCTGGGGACTCCAGATGCTCAAAGACAAGCAGACAGACAGTCCCCCAAGGGGATGGGCTGGGGCCGAGGGGGGATGTGAGGAGCGGTGAGAGGTCTCTCCAGGACTGTGGGCTGGGCAGCCCCTGGGCAAAGGTGCACTGAGGGCTCTGCGCTCCTCCCAGCTGGACCACTGCAGTCGTCTCCGCCCTGCTCCCTGCTCCCTGCTCGGAGCCCCTCCAATCCCTGCTGCTTGCCGCAGCCAGAGCAATCCTTCCAAACCATAAATCAGACCACATCACTCCCCACTCCCCTACTCCCCCACCTTCCCATCAGAAGCAGGAGGGATGCCAACCGTCTGGCCCTCCGTCCCCAGCACAGACCTCTTGGCTGGAGGCTGGGGGGGGACCACGTGCACCTCTGCCACCTTGTCGCCCCCACTCCACCCACACACCCCCGACCCCTCTCCCACCACTCCCCCCATCTCCCCAGCCTCCAGCCTCATGGGCATCTTTGCTGTTCCCTTATGGCGGAGCTCATTGCCGCTCCAGACCCTTCGCACTAGCCTGTTCCTCCTAGGAGGTTCTTCCTCCAGCTAATTCTCATTGTTGAGGTCTCAGTTTCGCGAGGACTTCCCTGGACCACCTCATGTAAGGAAGCTTTCACTCACCGAGTTACTTTATTGAAACATCCCACTTTATCTTTTTGATCTGCTCAAGACCGGCATGGTCTGGTTGGTTCGTCTTTGACTATCTCTTGCCAGTGAAGGCAGGGATTCTTTCACACTGCTGTACCCCCTGAGCTAGAACAGGGACTACCTAGCACATAGTAGGGGCTCAGTTAATCAGTTGAGTCAAGAGGTCGCTTGTTGGGCAACGGCTTGGCCTTCATGCTAGGCAGCACCCTGAGTTCCCAGGGCAGAGGCGGTGTGGGGAGGGGGAGGCAGCCTGAGAGGTAAGGGCAGAGTCAGTGCCATGCCCACTCTGCCAGGCTCATTCCTGACTCAGACAGGGCTTTCCCAGCTTTGGCGGTCGGGTCCTGCCAACAGTCATGGAGCTCACCAGCCCGGGATCTGGGGCCTGCCCTTCACAGGAAGAAACACAGCTCTGAGCAGCGGGCAGGTGCAGCCTGCTGGAGGTCACCAGTGTGGGGGCAGTTAGCCAAGCCTTCTGGCTCCAAGCGAGAGCAGGGCATCTGTCCTCAGCTGCTGGGAGCCCCAGGAGGGGCCCTGGGAATCAGTGCATACAGCCTTCCCTTTTCCAAGAAAGCCTGGTACCCCGAGGGTAGTGTGACCTTGGGCAGGCTGCTCCCTGCCACAGAGCCCAGGCCTCTGGGTTCCCATCAGGAGTCCAGGGACTGGAGACCCAGAGTTTACATGAAGCGTAGATGGGACAAGGCCACCCACCCTGCAGAGGGATGCACGGCCTCTCTCGCTGCTGGCGCCAACATGGGCAGCTGTTCTCTCCCTGGGCCCGGCTGCTCACCACCTGGGCTGGTGGATATGTGTCAAGATAGAGGCCTCCCCAGCAGGGCGGGCACCTGCTCTGGCTCATATGGGGTGCCCTGGAGAGCCTGCAGCTGGAGGTGGGCCCTGAGGCTGCCTAGAATTGCCCTCTGCAGGTGCTTGTGCTCAGCTGGTGGTCCTGGAGGTGCTGCTGGAGCTGGGAGAAGGAGGGAGCCCAAGGGGGAGCTCTAGGGGTGCCCCTCACAGTCCTATGGGACACAGCTGGCTCTGTGTATGTATGCACGCATACGTGTGAGTTTGGAGGGGAGGTGGGGGATGGCTATGTGTGATAAGCAAGGACATGCCACTCTGGGTGCCCAGTCGTGACGACAGTAGTTGAGACGACTTAGGAGGTAGCCCACCTGCCCCTGCCCCTTGGCACCAGCTCTTCACTGCTATATGACCTCGGGCAAGTTACAGAGCCTCTCTGTGCCTTGGTTTCCCCCTCTGGAAAGTGGAGATGGCAAAAGCCCCTGGAGCCAGGCCCACAGGAAGTGCTCAGGAATTCCGGTGTTGAGTGTCCTGGAGGGGAGCTCTGCTGCACCCCATGGGTGTGGGTGTGCATACCTGGGGGACAGCCCTAGGTGGGGAGGGTGATGATGGTGCATGTCCCTTTAGAGAAGCTCGTTCAGAGCACGCACACCGGCACGCCCTTGTGTATGTGGCGGGCAGGATGTGCACTGCGTGGCGTGTGCTCTGGAGCAGGGCAGTGAACGTGCACGTCCTCGGAATGCCTGTGCCTGGTGTCGGTGTCCCCAGGTCCGTGGTGTCTGGGTGCACAGGCCTGGAGCCTTGTTTTGGTGGGGACGTCTGGTGGGGGGCTGGAGGGCAGGAACCCTGAGCAGCTGTGCCTTGAGGAGCACACGATCATGTCAGGTATGTCCACGTCCTGCCCCTGTGCTTAGGACCAAAGTGTGTGTGCTGGGGACAGGGCAGAAATCTCACAGTTCAGTTTTTTTTGGGGGGGAGTCTGGCAACAAATAATTATTGCGCCCGCCCTATGGCATGTAGAGGGAGTGGGGAGGGCTCCGGGAGGGGGCGGTGCTGCTGTGTGTGAGGGGGTACCCTTAGGGGGGGGGGGCCCCACGTTGGGGG